TAGTGATGGTGAACACAAATGAGCTCTATGAGATGGCTCGTCCCACCCTGCACAAAGTGGTCAACATCGGCGGTGTGGGAATGCAATTTAAAGATGCGAAACCATTGGAGAAGGTAAAAACTCTAATATTATTGTAACAAGTTCTGTTGTGTAACAAGTTGTGCAATCATTGAATATTCAGGAGTTTCAAACGATTGTCGACAAATCGAAGAAAGGCGTTGTCGTGTTCACGTTCGGCTCGGTCACTCGAATGGAGTTGATGCCACAGAATTGGAAGGTAAAGAAGAAAAATTCTATCTTTAATCATACCAAAACAAGAAAGGGTATATATACCTGAGCCTGAGCCATAAGCAGAAACAAAGTAGCCTTGAGCAAGATCACTATAGCCTATGTGTGCCGTGCAGGCCGAGGCTCAAGTCAGATCATACATATCGTATTTTCTCTTATAGTAGTGCACCCTTAGCGTTGCCTAAATTCCTCGAAATCTCGAAAAGCGCTTATCAGAACCTATCGATGTGGGGTCGGAAAATGTAGCTGACCATGTGATCTAATGGGGGATTTGAGTGTTGAGCTTCTGCAAAAGCTTGGAAACCGTAAAATAGTCACCAACTCGGCTCGCCGGGGTGCACTACTATTAGAGAAAATACGTTAGTTTTAGATCCTATCCAATCCTAGCTAATTCGGTTTAAGAATAATGTGAGATACTATTGTGTTCCGTCAAAAATTACCTCAAAACCCTTTAGGAAGCATTCATGACAGCTTTCGGCAGTTTCCCCGACTATGAGTTCATTCTTCGATACGAGGGAAATGATATGGAAAGTTTCCGCCCGAAAAACGTTCACCTCTACAAATGGTTGCCGCAGAATGATTTACTAAGTGAGTTACAGTATTGAATTTATAGCACTTTATAAAATTTACATTATAAAATGTAATAAATAAGCGTTTTTAAAGCCAGTCTTACCATTTCAGAGCACCCGAAAACGGTCGGCTTCATCTCGCACGGTGGATACAATAGTGTCCAGGTTTAAATGAGAAAATGATTCAATAACTGTATATTTATATAAATTAAGTACCTATATAGATATAGATATAAGTTTTTTCACTTTCTTTTTTATTATTTTCAAGCTTTAGGAGGCTTTGAACAGCGGTCAACCGATCATGACGATCCCTTTGTTTGGCGATCAACCGAAAAACGCGAAAGGGAGCCGAACAATTGGGTGAGCTGGACATAAAAAAGGCCACTATTACATTTATTTACATTTAAAACTATGTCTAGATATATCTAGATACAATATTCAGATATCTTTTAATCTTAAAAACATTCAGGTTTTGGGATAAATGTTGTCAAAACTGGCCTCTCTGCGGAAACCCTGCAAACAGCACTCAACGAGATGCTTGGCAATAAAAAGTATGCAGTTTAAAGCTAAATTTTTCTTCATTCGTAATATTCATATGCAAATTCTAGATACGCTAACGTAGCGAAACGAATCTCGGACATGGTTCGAAAGAAGCCGATCAAACCCGACGAATTGCTCTTGAAATGGACCGATTTCTTGGCCGAATTTCAGGTTTGAAGATTTTATTTCAGCAAACATTCACTACTTCTACTAACTGAATTACGACTAGATTTGGGTCCTTCCGAGTAATCTAAAGGGAAAAAACTATCATCATTCACTGCTGGCCGGGTAGCCGAGTGGCTTGCGCGCTTGTCTCTAAAGCGAACAGCAGTTAGGCAGCAAGTTCGACCCCCGTTCGAGTTAAATTTTTTGCCTTTTTTTATAAAAACTTTTGGTTCTTTGCTAGATTGGTTTAGAGGGTTTTAGCTAACAGTTAGTAAACTTATTAGCTTTCAAAAGCAAAGAAAAGTAATAACTGTTTATTTGAACAATCGAAAAAGGCACAATACGATTACCGTATTTTCTCTAATAGTAGTGCACCACAGCGAACCGAGTTGGTGGCTATTTTACGGTTTCCAAGGTTTTGCAGGAGCTCAACACTCTAATCCCCCACTAGATCTCATCATCAGCTACATTTTCCGACCCCACATCGATAGGTTCTGATAAGCGGTTCTCGAGATTTCGAGGAATTTAGGCGACGATCAGGGTGCACTACTATTAGAGAAAATACGGTCCTTGAGATTTACTTGACGCGTTACTCAAGTTAAAAATTATTTGCGCGAATTTATTCAAGTAATTACTTGCTCAAGAGGAATAGTCTTACGATCACGATCTCAGCGCCTCTTGGTAAAAGCCTCTTGGTTTACTGTAAAAAGCATTGAACGGGTGAATCTTTCATTCAAAGTTTGCAAATGAAATTCTTCCAGAAATTCGAGAACCTCGTCCCACACGGAACCAAGCTCAACTGGTTTGTCTATCATTCTCTCGATGTCATCGCTTTCTTATCGATCTCAATCTTTCTCATTCTCTTCATTCTTTATAAAACGATTCGTTTCACCGTTTGCAAGTGTTGCTCACTATGTCGAAAGCAATGGAAAAACGAAAAAAGAATAGGATTCTAAATTGCTCAAGCTTTCTGTAAATAAATTTATGAAAGAATTTTTTGAAACAAAACAAAACAAAAAGCTTTTTTCAAACAAAAACTTCAGAAGTTAGAACCAATATTACTGAGAATTTTCTGAGAAATTAATAACAAAAGTCCTTAAAAACTAGAAGAGTACGATAACTTTAGAACGCTTTAGAAAGCGCCCATCAAACTCTTTTCGGTTCTCTGGATTAGACCCGTCTCATGGCTGAGTATAAAACACATCTGAATTCAAAACTCTTACTCTCAGCTTATTAGAGTGTGTTCCGCGGGAGTAATACGTTTTTTAAAACGTACACTTCGCAAAAATTATCGTACTTTTGGCCAAAATTATTGCAAAAAATCACAAGCGCTGACTTATATATGTTTTCTTTTAAAGATGTTCAGTCGTTTAACTAATTTGGTGGCAAATTCCCGTCAAATGTAAAGATATTCAATTTACTCGACGTGTAAAGAGGATCGACTCGTAGTTACTCGGCGAAAAACGTCGATTAATCGAGTAAAAATTACTCATGCAAGGTTTTACTCGAGTAATTATTTACTCGCAAGGACACTATGATTAAGTAGATACCGTAAATACTGTAATAGTACCCCATCCCCCTCTCGTACAGTCGCGTAGTCGCAAAAGTTTTTTAGTATTTCATTTTTTCAAAGCGCTCGTACTTTCAAAAAATGCATCTTTGGTATCAAAAAATAGCCCTGAATTTCAGCTATTTTTTGATACGTAAACGAGCATTGTAGCATAAACCAGTGTCGAGAAAAACTCGTTCAAAGCTAGACTACGCAACGCTCCGCACCGTCATTATGGGGGTGGAGTACTATTACAGTATTTACGATAGATAGATAGTAGTAATTAGATAAGTACGAGGGACTAAGTAGATTGATTTTCTTCCGTTTACTAACTATTAGGTTGTCCAGTTATAAATGCGCGTTTTTAAGATAACAACTCTTTATTTTAAAACCAACAGTTTAACAGCTCAATCAACAATATATTCACCATTTGTTAACATTATTTGTTTCCATCTTCCAATGAATTCCCTCCGCGTAAAAATTGGCTTGTTTTAAGGCAAAGAAGTCGGCTATCCATTTTTCGACCTCTTGAACTTCTTTGAACTTGTTTCCGGCCAAATGGCTTCGCATTGGGCGAAATAAATGGTAATCCGAAGGAGAAATATCCGGAGAATATGGCGGATGCGGGAGAGTTTCCCAGCCCAACTCTTCGAGTTTTTCCTGAACAATCTTTGCAACGTGTGGACGGGCGTTATCTTGAATCAACTTTATGTTTGAAGGATCAAGGCCTTTTCGTAGCAATACATTGTTCACTCGTTCCAATTGTTGTGCATACGTTTCACCCGTGATTGTTTGCCCAGGTTTAAGCAGCTCAAAATGCCCAATGCCTTGGGAATTCCACCAGACAGTAAGCATTACTTTCTTGTCAAGGAAGTCGGGTTTTGGTGTTGGTATTGGCTCCACACCAGGTTCTAGCTATTGCCGTTTTCGTGTAGAATTATCATATTGAATCCATTTTTCATCGCAAGTAAGGATTTCATCGTAAAACCCAGTATTTTTTGCCAAACGAAGAAGAATACCCGCCATAGTGACACGAGTAGCTTTATTGGCATTGCTGAGAAGATGAGGAACCCATTTCCCTTGTCGGCTTGTTTTCCCCAATTGATTTAAATGCTCGGAAATGGTTTGAGGGCTTACTCTAAATATTTCTGCAAGTTCACGCGTCGTTTGTCGAGGATCCATTTCTATCGCCTGCTTCAGTACTGCATTATCGATCGCAGGAGGTCGTCGTTGGTGGTCTTCGTCTTCCAAAGATTCATTTCCTTCTCGAAATCGTTGAAACCATCGGCGACCGAAATAGCATCTTCGCCAAATACTTTGCAGAGATCTCGATGGGATTCAATGGCATTTTTGCCCAATTTGAAGTCATACCAAAGACTGGCAAACTTCGTCTCGGTCATTTAAACACGGAAATTAAATCAAAAATGAATTAGTTTAACGTCAAAAACACGAAAAGTTGTAATAAATAAGAAATCTTGAACAACATATAGAGAATAGGGTTTGATAAAATTGTATAGCCCTAAGGTACACTGTTCAAGAGCAGGCGCGCATTCATAACTGGACAACCTAATAGATTCGACTGCTAGTTGTTTTCTATGCATCCAAGTACTTTTTTTTTCCAGATCTGTTCGCGAGCTGGCCGATCATCGGCATCATCGCGAGCTTATCGTTTTTTCGTAAAAGATAATCCGTCAAGCTTTAATAGAGCTATTTTTAATTTAAAAAATCTGATTGAATTCAACAATTTAATAATAAAAGAAAAGATATCAACGTTTTTTGAAAAAATTCCTTTTTATGCTAAATTCAGCCCACACGCACATCGTTGAATTTCAAGGATTTTCAAGGGAAAAATGGATTTTTGAGTTGAGGGGGTGACTTCAATTGGCCTTTTCTTTTATAACAAGGCTAACTTGAGTGGATTCTTTTCTTTTTTTTCATGATGACGATTTGAATTTACCCAATTTTCTTGAAGATTTAAGAAATTTCCCTCATTTTCTTCGTTTTTACATCAAAAATCTGTTCTTTTGCTTTGTACTTTGTGCTTAACTCTGCTGCTACTTTGTGCTTAACTCTGCATGTACTTTGTGTTTAACTCTGCTGCTACTTTGTGCTTGACACTGCTTAACTAAATGCACCCTTTCTAGCGCACTTGGTTCATCTTTTTCGTAATAATGATTACAGGAAATGGATTCAGTGCGTAAACAAAAGGGTTTTCCCCATTTTGAGCTCAAGTCTGATCTCATAAACGCTCAGCATCTATCGGATTATCGAAAAACCAAACTACAGCTTTAGTTTCTGCTCAAAATCCATCTCAAAAATCCCATTGTGAGTTCTCGAGTGATGCGCCAGATGCGGCGCGTTTACGAGAACTCCTTAAGAGTTTAAGAATCGTTCTTGTTTAAAGATCGAAACTTTTTCAAGAAATTCCATTTCAATTAAAACCCAGATCGAAATTCGACTTACTATTAGGTTGATGCATAAGTCTTTTCGTTTTTTTCGTACTTCTGTTAAAAAGTAACAAATCTATAGTTTGCTCTATAAAAAAGTGTTTTTTTGTTCAATTAGCATCTTTTTAAATGAATTTCGGTTCACTTTCAAGCAAATTCGAGAGTGAAAAACGCCTTTTTCGTAAAAATCTATAAAAAACTCTACGGAAAAATCGGCTGAATGAATTTCTCTGAAATTTTGGCGAAATATCAAACGTTTTTTTCCTCTATCTTTTATCTATTGACACGAAGATAGGTTTTCTTTAGCTAAGGTGTCTAAACCGCTCAGGCTCAGGCTCAGGCTTAGGCTGAGGCTTAGCCTGAGCCTGAGCCTAAACCGCATCATCGAGTTAGCCCTCTTTGACTACCCGACTTCATACTCTCAAGAAAATCCAGGCATTAAATATTTTTAAACCCGTTTTAATGTTATTTTGCAGAAAAATAATTGGTTTTTCTAATGAAATCAACCGTAGTTTAATTCGTGCATTTGTTGGCTTGAAACGGCAGACGAAAAGGAACAAAAACACTTATGCATCAACCTAATATATAGTATTTTGAAGTTAAAATCCTTTTCAACTTCAAGAGCATTTCTATAATTAAATCATTGTGATCACAGCCAGGTGGCTGTGATCTCACAGCTCTCCAAAGAAGCACTACAATGCTTCTTTGGAGCTCTCCAAAGAAGCATTGTAGTGCTTTTTTTGGAGAGCTGTGGCACTAAAATGCATTGTAGTGCGCTTGAAGCAAACTCTCATTGCGCTCACCTATTTAAATCTGTTTTCTATTGAAAAATCCTTTAAAAAAGCCTTTTTATATGTCCATTTTTGTTTTAAGTAAACAGTTCAATCGTTATTTTAAAAAAAAAGACTGTTATCATAATCAAAACGTAAAATAGTTTTTTTTTAAAAATATGTGAAATTCGTCTCCAAAGGCTTCTTGAAAAGGCTAGAAATTTTTGATTTTTGAAATTTGAATTTTCATCACAGTTTCAAGCTTCAAAATAATATAAAACATGAGAAATTTAGTTTTAATTTTCATTTGTTGCTTTAATTGCAAAATTGCTTTAAAATTTTAAAAGCAAAACATCAAAACCCTCCTTTTAAAAATCTTTTTTTCGGCTAAACTCGAGGCTTTTGGCGTGGCTAGGCGTGGCTCTTTTATCTTGATCTGAATTTATCTGCTTTCTCTAAATCCTCTAGAGCTTTTTTTTCTTTAAATCGTGTGATTAAAGTTTGGAATGCCCTTCCCGACAAGTTGCGTTTGATCTCCACCGTCTCTGATTTTAAAAGATTTTAAAAGCTACTTCATTGCATTTTAAGTGACTTTGTCGGGGGTGGGACAAATGCGACCTTTTTTTTGCGCACCTGGACATTTGCGCACCTTTTTTTGCTGGAAAAGGCCTTAGGCAAGGCCGTAGAGCTTCGAAAATATTTCCATGTAAGGGAATCGTATGCGTAGATTCCGAATTTCGACAAATCAGACCTCGCTGACACGTCAAATTTGGGCTAAAAGGCAAAAACTACGCAACTTAACGCTTTTCCGCAGTTTTTGCCTTTTAGCCCAAATTTGACTTGTCAGCGAGGTCTGATTTGTCGAAATTCGGAATCTACGCATACGATTCCCTTACATGGAAATATTTTCGAAGCTCTACGGCCTTGCCTAAGGCCTTTTCCAGCAAAAAAAAGGTCGTATTTGTCCCACCCCCCGACTTTGTCAACTTTAATCTAGTACATTTTTCATGTCGTTTTCGTACTTTATTTCTTTCTAAATAAAGTATTTATATATATGTATAATTTAGAAAATCAATCATTTACAAGTCGTGCGCGGAGAACTTTTTAGATGAACCTTTAGATCACAGGTTCATCCCCATCACCTCTTTCCCCTCCCCCAAAATTTCCTTTCTCGATAAAGAGAGTCTTTTTCTAATCAAATCAAAAGAAATACATGCGTTTTCTTATTGGTTTGATTAGCCGATTTGGGATTTTCTCGAAATGGATATCGGATAGCTCATGGATTTCCTTTTAACCTCTATCTCTCATTTGCAAATTAAGAAACATTTTTGAAAACTTCATTTCTACATCTTTTTTTGTTTACATAATCCTCTTAACTACTGTATTTTCTAAAAAAATGAATAATTTTAAAAGCTACTGTAACCCTTTTTGTCCACTTAAAATGAAAAATATAAAATTTTACTCTTATTTTTTTTCTCAATTTTTCTCATTTTTCTCAAAGTTCAATTTCAATTTCCAAAAATATTTGTACACAAATTTGCATAGAAATTGAAATACAAAAGTGTTTTTTTCTTTAGAAATAACTTAAAGATAAGTTTCGATTGATTTTCGATGTCTAGAGAAAGAAATTTTGGCACATAAAAGAAATCTCCGGGATTTTAAGTGATCCAACTTTGAAGCCCGATAACTTTCCCTAGAAACATTTATTATTCTTAATTTTTTATATCATTGCATAGAGGGATGTTTCTGGCTTTCGAATGATACCAAAATAGAACTCATTTCGATTATCCAGTCTCACAAAAATCAAAGCCCAACTTGGCCTAAGACTGATAGAGCTCAAGTACAGAATCTCTCTGTTTTCTCAGGATTGAATCATTCAATCAAGCTCAATTTGGTACCATTCAAAAGCCAGAAGTGCCCTCTATACAATAATATAAAATTTAAAGAACATTGTTATTTCTAAACAAAGTTCTAGCCTTTCAAATCCGACGACACCGGCCAAGGTCATCAATTTATCTGATCAATTTTATTTATTTCCCTTATCCGATAAATCTTCTAGTTTATTTTTATTTTTATTTTTATTTTTCCATTCCTCTTTTTTTGAGTTTTTTAAGTCTTTATTGATATCATTTTTGAAGGTTAAAAGGAAAAAAAAAACAAAAAGAACCAAAAGTTTATGGGGTCGAGCAAATAAACCTTTCGGGATCTTTTTTTGCGCAAAAAGATAAAGAAAAGATAAAGATTGCCTTTTCTTTGCTTTTTTTCTTTTATTCCAAAAATTTCCTTGTCTAGAAAGCGTCAAGTTTTATTTGTTGTTAAATTGTTGAACTTTTTGAAACGATCTCTTACGGTGTTTTTTGGAAATGATGTATTAAAATTTTGGATTTAAACTCCATTTATGGGAGTGAAAACGATGGTTAAAGAGGTTTAGCTGTATTAGCTGTAGTAGCTGTACTGGCTGTCGAAATCTCCTGAGCCAGGGAAAAAGGAAAAGTTCCGGCGTCTCTGACCTTTACGGCGGTACCTTTGATTTCGTCCATAGTTTTCCCACAGAGCGTACTTTTCCTCGGAAAGTTCCTTGGAAAGTTCCTTGGAAAGTTTTACTGGAAACCTTCTGGAAGAAAAGTACGTTTCGCGGGAAATTATGGACTTTTTACCGGAAAGATCAAAGATGCCGCCGTAAAGATCAGAGACGCCGGGACTTTTCCCGGAGCATAGCATACGGGCTCAGGAGGTTTCGATTTTAAGGTTACACTCAAGATTACTGTATTAAGAAAAGAACTGGCAGCGCTACAGTACCTTTAACTTTCACTAAACCGATAAGTTCGGGATCAAAGATGCCGCCGTAAAGAGCAGAGACGCCGGGACTTTTCCCGGAGCATAGCATACGGGCTCTGGTTATTCGGGATCTTGTAAATCCAGTATCCATCAGCCATCAGCCATCAGCTAAATGGCCATCAGCTGATGACTAAATCTCTAAGTCAGTCGATTTGTTTTGATTCAACATAATCAATTAGACTGACAACTATGAGTTCTCAGTAAAGTTACAAGTATTTCACAAAGTTAACTATTTAATTGAACTGAATAAAGAGAAGATTCTCGACTGCTTGAATCTAGACAAAAACTAGACAGAATATTGTCAATTTACAATAGTTTAAATCTAAAACAGCGGTACAATCTTGTTAAAGCCTCGCAAAATTTCTCCTTGAATCAATTCACAAAATTAGCATTATTAAAATTATCAGTTTGCATATTTCCAGTCAAAATCAATTCATTTAAAGTTTTAAATTGAAAATTTGGGGCTTTAACAAGAGGCTTTAACAACATTTTATCAAAAGAGCTTTGAAAATCCTTTTGCTTGAAAAGCTTTGAAAATCCTTTTGCTTGAAAAGCTTTGAAAATCCTTTTGTAAAGCTCTCACTGATTTCTTCGGTTTTTTTTAGATTACAAATAGTATTTAATGAAAATCTATTATCTTTTCTCGAAACTAGACAATGAAACTGAACGCTCGTTCTTTGAACTGCTGTAAAAAAAAAAAGCCATTTCCTTTCCCCTTCCCTCCAACGCGCTTTCCATTCATTTCCTTGTCCGTTAAATGCCGAAATTAGCTGAAAAAGCTTGCGGCTATTTCTCAAAAAAAATTCCATCAATTAAAAATTTGTTTCCTTTCTAAAAATCAGACTAATAATAAGTTTTTGGGTATCAAAAACGGATTGATAAACGATTTCGAATTTTTTTTTTTGCTTCTTATCACTAACATTTTTGTACTTATCAAGGTCGGCCATAAATGTGAATTCCGGTGAATTCCACAGTCCATTGTATCAAATGTAAACTTGTGATCTTTACTTTCATTTTATTAGTCTCAAAAAAATCCGAAATGACCTCGATAGACTGTTTGTCGGGAAGAACTGGTTCTTTTCTCTTAACAAGGATCCCCTTTCTTCTCCAGTCGTTGATCCGATCCTCGTGAATCGGCTAAAACAATTTGTGTGGCTCGTTTTCCCCTCCCGCGATTTCCTTATTTTTAAACCAAATATCCCCACAATAAACCCCATTTTATCCAATTTTTTTTGCCCAAATCCGATATCTGATTTTCCTTTCTGGTACTTTGTCTTAATCTTTTTTACATTTTTCCTCTATTATCCGAGATTTTCAGTTCATTGAGCTGTGAAAATTCCACCCCTACAATCTTGACGCCAATTATCCGTGTACCAAAAAGTTTCCCGAGACCCAAATAGAACTAGACTTCCTTCCAAGAAATTTCATCAATTTATTTTCCATTTTCCATTCTTTTCAAAAATAATAAACAAGAACATCCTGAAAAGTTTATTGCAAGAATTCGTTAAAAGTACTCTGTGAGCGATGGGTTAAATTCCTTCTTTTGTTGTCTCATTTGTTCCTTTAGTTGTCCTTTAGTTGTCCTTTAGTTGTCCTTTAGTTGTCCGTTACCCCAAACAGAACCTTTAGTTGTCCGCTAACTCGTCGAAAGCATTGTTCTCGATTTGCTAAAAAACATTAGCTCCACCAAAATCTCACCCGTTTACCCAGGATCTCCTCGATTTTCTTTTTCTTCTTGGTGATGGAGTTGTTATAGTCGAAGACGAACGTCTTGTATCAATCCTCGCTGGGGCTGAATGCCTAAAAAGAAGCTTAAAAATTCATTAGAGAGTTTGTTACCTTCTTCCCGGCCAAAGCCTTGAGTACAGCGAAAGACGAAGACGAAGAATTGCTAAAAACAACAATAATAAGATAGAGAAACCACAAAAACCAAGTCACTCTGAATCGCGTGAAGACGTTGATCGCGAAGCTTCTTGACGATTGAAACGAGATCAAAAGCTTCTTGACGATTGAAACGAGTGGAGGTTCCGTTGCGAAGAGATTCTAAGGCCATGAAGACACCAACGAATGCATCAGCTCATCCAACACCTAAACAAAATGATTTATAAGGAACCATACAAAATCAAAAACAGAATAAAAGCCAACCTGCTGAGCAATGGGCAATTACTGATCCAGGATTTTTCGCGAATTGCCCAGCCACCTCAGAAACCAAACGCAAAGCCGCTTTCGTATCTTCTGGAGCGCAGTGATCCTGCCATCAGTCAAAACGATAATGAGTGACCTAAAACAAACGGTTAGGGAACATTTTCATTGAGAAGCTTCACCTTTCACATTATTAAGAATTTGATCAAGCTACGAGATCAATTTAACATTAACAACTCCGATATCTTACAGAAAAAAACTTAGCTTCACATTTTCTGTAGTTGTAAAACCACCGATGGAAATTCCAATCTCAATTTATTGATGATCCTTACCAAAGAATACTAACTCAAACCAGAACTATCTAAAGTTTAAAAGAAAAACAGTGTTGTGATAAAGCAATAACAAGTAGATTAAAAGAATAACAGCTTGAATTTCTCGCAAAAGTCCTTTGATGTCATTCTTCTTGCATTCGTTGATGAAGGCGGCTCTGGCTTTGCTCCAGCTCGACTCCAGCTCGAGTCCAGCTCCAGCTCGACTCCAGCTCCAGCTCGACATCGAGTGAGCAAGCGGGGTGAGACGAAGAATGATTTTTTTCGCTGCTGAGCTTTGTTTTATGCTGGGTTAAATGGAAATTTTTAATTTTCAGACAAAAAGCAAATTTTGGAGATGAATTTAGGTATAAGTGCAAATCAAGCTTCGATTCCATTGCCTTCATCTTAAAAGCTTTCTCTGTCTTTGAATTTCAATTGAATAACAAGCTTTATAGGTTCAAAATCTATTCCTAACCTTTCCCATACCCTTTCCAATACCCTATTTTCGTGTAGTACCACAACCTTTCAATGTTCCATTTTTAACCTCTACTCACTATACAAAATCAAATGTTCAAATACTACAAATACTGCAACTTCTCGTACCATCAAAAGCCATGAGAAATTTGTTTGATTTTGAGGGAAAATTCACGTCAAACACTCCAAGAATTCGCAAATTTTTCACACAAAATTGAAAGAATTTCCGAATTTCTCAAAATTTTTTCTCAAGGACAAGGCTGGAGAAATTTTAGTTCCTCCCCATTTCGAGAGGATTTGTGTTCCGAGAAAATACACATTCAAATCTTTTTTTTGCTCTCGAATCGGATAACTACACTCCCTCTCACTTTCCCAATAATTCTTTAAATTCTGTTTTCCTTTGTCAATGAAAGCACTTTTTTTGATCCGGCTCACCGAAACATTTGTACTTGAATTCTTTCAAAACTTTGTCCTGTATCGTCTAGATTATTATTTTTTCATTAAAACATGAATTATAAGCAAAAATATAGCAATAAAGCAAATAAAGCAAAAAACAGAAAAAAAGCATAAATTTCAAATAACTAAATCAGAGAAAAAGTGCGTTTTAGCAAAAAGCAAAAAACTTTTGTTTTTTTTTAAAGTCCGACATTCCTTTCTGAAGCTTTACGAAAACAAAAGCATTTTGCTAAAAGACTGAGGGTTTAAAATTACAGTAACTTAACAACGATAATTGTAACGTGTTAGAGTCCGTTTCCAAGTTGAGCATCGTTTTTTCTTATCCCTTTATCTCCAGCTCTTAATCACAAACTTTTCCAGGCTCAATGCTATTAGAGCGACTGAGCAGTCGCCTAAACTCGACTCGTTTCGGCCATTTCCTCTCAAGATTTCCATCCAAATTTTCACTCCTTAATTCTCTCGAGTCTCATCATCGCCTTCAATATTTTCGGTCTTTTCGGCAACTCAAATCTAATCTGGGCCACATGGAGAAACAAAGAGTTGAGGAATAAACATGGTTGGTTAAACTACCGTAAATACTGTAATAGTACCCCACCACCCATAATGACGGTGCGAAGTGTTGCGTAGTCTAGCTTTGAATGAGTTTTTCTCGACACTGGTTTATGCTAAAATGCTCGTTTAGGTATCAAAAAATAGCCCTGAATTTCAGCTATTTTTTGATACCAAAGACGCATTTTTTGAACGTACGGGCGCTTTGAAAAATACTAAAAACTGAAATACTAAAAAATTTTTGCGATTACGCGACTGTACGAGGGGGTGGGGTACTATTACAGTATTTACGGTATCTACTTAATCATAGTGTCCTTGCAAGTAACGGTATGTGGTTTAAAAATTCAAATTGTAATTTGGATGATTAGTTTTAAGTTCAAGAAATCAAAAAATCAAGCCATTTCAATTAAATGAAATTTTCTCAGGTTCTCTGATGCTATGGTTCTGCGTCTTCCACAATCTTTGTCTCATTTCCGAGCTCAGCTACGTGTTCTTGAATAATTTTAGTGAGTTTAACTAGAGTTTAACTAGAGTTTAACTAACTTTTTCAACCCTTTATAAACAGTTTCAAGTTTCAGCTTCCCAACATGGTTGGATTCTCGAGGATTGCCTTCGCGTGTCAATCCCGCATCTCTTTGTCTCATCTGTTCAAACGGTGCTGTCCGTCTCGATCTCTCTCGATCTCCTCATTGCCCTTCTATGGCCTTTTCAGTGAGTTTTTTCTTTGCTTATTAAAGTGTAATCCTTACTACCGTATGTCAAAATTAAATATTCAGCTGTCTTTCTGAGTATTTTTGATTTAGATTTGATTTGATTGATCGAGATTAACTATAGTAGAGTTTTTACTTACAATTAGACTTTATAATCCCTTTTAAAACGGATCTAAATATTAGATTTGTTCAATAGAGCTTTAACTTTTTCTTCTCACAAACGCAACCAATCTGGCAGACTAATTTTAGACTTTGTTTTTGGAAAAGTCTTTGGTTAAAACAAAAAGCCAAACCAATGACCATGAGTAAAAACTCAGGAAAAAACGTTGATTCGTTGAAGGTGCTATTGCACAGTCTGACTAAGATCTATACTGTTGTCAACAGTACCAAGGGTTGGACCCATATCCCTTGGTTCAGGCAGAATATTTATTAAAGCACCGGAGGGTTTATATATCGAAAAGTTGAGTGGGAAATCTTTTGAAAAGGTCTATGTTTTGGCTAGCTTGTGTCTGGGGAAATCGCGGAAAGATTTTGGAGGATAAAGGAGGATTAAGAGGGAACATTGATTGATAGATTTTAAAGAGAAATAGAGTTTATCGGAAGAATTTCCGAACATATACCATTTGTAACCTTTAAAATCCAATCCAAGCCCATTCTCAACGTTCAGACATCGTTTCTACTCACTAAAGCGCTACGTGTCCCTTTTTCTCTTGCCCGCCTTCATCTACGCGCTGATCACGATCTGTTGGGCGGTGATCGATAAAAATAAAGATAAAGTAAAGCATCCAAAGCTAAATCAACTACTCTCAATTTGTTCAGCTTTCTTGGTGCAACGGCGCACTCGCGCTCACCGGTTCCTCCTTAATTTGGTGGCTTTACTCAAATGTCAGCCTCAATTGCGTAAACGTTATCGTCTACGGTGCATTGTATATATTAATCGCAAGAAATGGTATGTTAAATATTTAAACTTTTGAATTTATTGAAATATTAAGGCACACAAGCCGATCGAATCCGTCGTACCTACTCGGATGAGAGTCGAAATCGCGGAGGTGGTAAGGCGAAGACCACTGAAAAAAAGGTTTGTTTTAAAAAGAAAAAGGAAGTTGATAATCGTTATTGTAACGAAAATTGTATCAAAAATCGGCTTACCTGCTTTATTGTTCAAAAAAAGCTTACCTGAAACATTCTTTTTTTTGGCACAGCGTTCCGATGATGCTGGAGCAAGAGTTTCCGTTGAATTCAAGTTCATCATTGCTTCAAATCAAAGAAATCTCTTGATTCCAGGTGCTTCGCAGTCTCTCAGTTCTCCTTGCCGTCTACCTCTTTTCCTGGTTTTCCTATATCATCGGGATCACCATCGTTCGCGATCTTCCCCTATCCCAAAAACGTTCCCAACTACTGCAAAGCTATTCAGTAAATCGATAAACTAAAGTCTCTCGTTTTAAAACGATATTTCAGGTGATTCTCGCACTAATTTGCTATTCTCAGAACTACTACGTGATGTTCATCCTCTCAAATACTTACAGAAGAGCTTTCATGGAACAACTCTACATATTGATTTGCAAAGACGTGAGCGAATCGATGAGAAAAAAGTGACCCACTCACAAAAATTAGGTTCCGGAAAAGTACTGGCCGATGTCGGTGACCGCCTCTCGGAGAGCTTCTCAGAATTGGCAAAAGGCTCGCTCGGAAGCGGTGAGTTAGAAATCATGCAAATCCAATCAAAATATCCAATTCAGCTGGCAGCCACCGGTGGTTCTCTGCATTCCTCAGTTCGTCGACCTGCTCGCATGCATCGAAGAACCTCTTCTCTACCAGATATTCACAAACTAGACCCGTCAACCCTAGCAATAACACAAAAGCGTTCTCAGCCAAACTTTTTACCGATTCCCCTAATTTTCACTGATTTCTTTTACGGGTAAAAATCCCGGGTTTCATCGATCTCCTCCTTGATCTCGAAATAAATATTTTGTGCAACTCTGTCTCAAATCATATAAACAGGGCAAATAAAAAACAACTTTATTTTGATTCTCTATTTCTTCTTTCTACTCCCGGTTGGAGATGCTGGCGGGCTACCGTCACTAAACACCAACAAGTTAAAGTTATAATCTTCTAAAAACCAACCTATCAATAGTTCTCGGGATCGACTCGTTGATGGTCGGATCTTCGCAGCAGAGATCGTAGGCTCGATAAATTTCGGGGCAAAGAACGGTTGATCCATCTCCACGAAACAGTCTGCAAATGATAAAAGTCAGCTTCACTCAAAACTTTCTCAAAAAATCTATGTTCGATTCAACGCTATAAAAATTCGAGATCACTGTTAATTTTTAAACGTAGTTAATGTTAACTTGTTGTTAAATATCAATCAACCAACCTACGTATTCGTACGTAGAACTTGAGCAATATCAAGTATCGGTCGAATCTTTCGCGATAGTTTCATTGAGTGCAGCCTTGTCCATCGAAGCATAGTCCACAAAACCACTAAAACAAACGAGATCATATTTATTTTAGGTAAAAGTGCTTTTATAAAAATAATCAAATAATCATAAGCAACTAACCTAGGATTGATGTCCCGGCAATGGCTTGAAGATAGAGTCGTGAAGCAACGGTAAGGCCATGTAGAACGAGACTAAATTGACTAGAGATTAATAAAATATAATTACGTTTAACCTCTCAATGTCTTTTTCATGACTGAACTAAAGTAACAAGCTTTCAAAAGTACAAACGAACCTTGTTAGGCCAAATGTGAACAACGCCAGAAGTGAAGCATACAAACGGATTGCCACATCACGCCGCACCCGAAAAGATCGGTCACTAAACAAAAAACAATAAGTGCTACTCTCGATTATAACACTTCGGTCTGGTCTTTTAAACAATGGGCAACAACAAAACTTACTTTACTCTAGTCGATTCGGGAGAGCTTCCGACTCTCTGCTTGCCCTCCAATAAGTCAAGATCTGATGGCGAAAGTTTCGGCTTTACGTGACCGCTAAACAAAAATTTGACTAAATAAATGGTTTCAAAAGTTCCACTCGTGTTTGTCCTCAATAGCGAGATCTTGAAAAACGAACAAGTCAGAGTTGTTTTTGATAGTTCACGCGTAAAATTTATTGAGCAATCAACAAAATGACTATAACAACACCGAATTAGCTGAAACCATAACAAACCTATCGGGAAATTCAAAAGAAACACGATCTTCACTCATTTAAATTTCAAATGAAAATATCGTAGCGCTCAGAAAATAGAAAAAATAAACTATGATGTTTGAAAGTGGCAATTGGGGAAATCAAGAAAACTATATATGCAAAGTATAAAATGTACATGCTAATATCTTGGAAATTCTTGATCAATCTCTTCGGCCCATCTATCGTATCCACCGACGATGTCTTTCACTTGAAATCCGTTAGATTCGATCTCTGATTTGAAACGCTCCTAAAGAAATAAACAAGTTACATGCAAAATTTACAACTTTACCTGTATCAATCGAACCGCCAACTGAGAGTCGTTTCCGCGATGACAAATCACGAAAACTAGAATGAAATTTATTTGATTCTTGAGATTAATTAAAATACAATTACTGATTGTATTTGAGCTAAAACAAAGAACTACTTACCATCAGCCGCTTCAGACAATCCCAGCAACTTTCGTAGTTCTATGTCTTCCAGTTGCTTTAACGAATCCATTGGAATATCTAAAACAAAAGAATAGATTAATCGAAAACGTTTTGTTTCAAAAACGTCTAAACCATAGCAAAAACATCTACTTCGTGCTTCGGGAAGCGATGCAATCGCAAATTCGTGTTTGGGTCGAGTGTCTACCAAAATGGTCGGTGACTTTCTCGCCGTCGAATACTCGCTCACGCTGACGCGTTCATTTGGATCCAACAACGAGAGTGATGGATTCTAAACCAAAGTTAGTAACCACTAAAAGCTTGTCACCACCTTATCTACAACCCCGGAGCCACAAAAGACTTCGTAATCGATCGGAGCGTGAATTGTGGGTGCTTCCCTAAAAAGGAAAGTTAGAAGTTTAATATTTTCCAACCAACCCACAAACGGCACAATCTTTTTGCTTCCGGCGTAAATTTATGATCCTTGTTCGAAAACGATGGGCGTCAAAGAGAAAAAGTCTCCCAGCAAGAGTTTCTAAAATCTCGTTTGAATCATTGAAATTTTAGCGCACCTCCAGTTTTTGCTATAATTTTGAGGACTTCGAGGGCTTGCATTGATCCGATCACTCCAACAACCGGTCCCATTACCCCTCCTTCACTGCAGTTAGTGACCAAATGTGCGGCTGGTGGATGTGGGAAGAGACAGCGATAACATGGACCATCCTAAATTTCTCTAATTGCAACATGCGTAAAAGAAAGCAATCCCAAACTCGCCTCTCCGTAATTGTAGACAGTAAGTTGACCTTCCCAGCGTAATGCGCTACCACTAACCAGAGGCTTATTGAGAAAAACGCAGACGTCATTGAGCATATATCTAAAGGATTTACTTTTCAATATTGGTAAATTGTAAAACTGGTTTAATTCTTAGTCTGAACAAAATAATTTTTGATGCAAACCTTGTAGCTGCATTATCTGAACAATCGGCAACAACATCAAAATCCTTGGCTATGTCCATCGTTTGTGCTCCATTCAACACCGTCGAAAATGTTCGCACGGCGATATTACTGTTTAAACTAAAGCAACTTGATCAGACAAACTTTAGCAATATTACCTTAGAATACTTTGCTTCAATGAATCCACTTTCAATTTTCCAACAAGCGTCTCCGAATGGGCAACTTGACGATGGAGATTATCCTTGGAAACCTTAAATCATGCTGATTATGAAATCGATCAATTTGACCGTAATTTTACGACAGCAATTTGAAGTTTACCATGTCAAAATCAGCAATTCCAAGCGTTCCAACACCAGCTCCTGCTAGGTACATGGCTGTCGGGCATCCAAGTCCACCCGCACCCACCACCAACACTCGTGCCGCTTTCAGTTCCTTCTGACCTATCATAATAGCCAAAAAATACCAGATACATTGGTTAAAGCAAACCATTGACTCCAAATTCGTGAACAAGTAGCTGACGACTATACCTTTCCACGTCAGCTTTCGATAAATTCTGGTCCATCCTAAACAAGTGTCCTTTGTTTGTTTATTTCAGTGTAAGATGCTAGTATTCAGATGTGATCGTACAAATCAAGTTTTTAAACCGCATTGAGGCAAAATATTTATTCTGAAAGACATTCACTTGAGGTTCATCATTTAGTAACAAACATCGAAAAAAAAAATTATCGGAACAATCTGCATAGAAACATAGCGACCAATTTCCCGGTTAATGGGTTACACATAAATCAATGAGATTCAAGTCGGATAAAGCGAACAATAAAACTAAAAGACTAAATACAAGAGCACAAGATTGACAAGCAACCCATAGTCAAAGCTGACTAACACTGAACAAAATTTTCCGCCTCATGCTGGTTCAAAGTGAGCTTTTCCAGAAGCCTGTCCATTGCGTCGATTTCTTCTTGGGGAAGATCGCTGAAGCTCACATCAAACTGATTCTCCTTGTCGAACCCATAGTCACGCTCCTAAAAATAGAAGATCATTTGTTTAAAAGTTAGACCTATTTTTAAAACATTTTTAAAAACGGCACTCTAAAAACATGATACAGTCTGTCTCAGTCCTTAACAAATAAAAGCCTACCAAAAGAACTGGACAATCTCCAAATGGTTCATCAAAATGAAAACGACCGTCATCTTCATCCGTTCCTCCAAAACGCTCAATGGGCTCAGCGTTTCCAACATATTGAGTTAAAGTAGCCTTCTAAACTTTCCCCCATTATTGAACTACCATTACAAAACCTTAAGTACGGGAGCGGGCCTGGCGAATTCTTCGAGATGAAATCGTCCATCATCGTCGACTCCATCAAAACGTTCGATTGGTTCCTCATCTTGCAGCAATTCCATCTTCTTTGGAGTAGATTCTCGGATGACCGGAGTTTTGAGTTGATAAGGCGACTTCAACATGTAATAATGGTCATCATCAACTCGCGATGAATAGTCAATCTAAAAAAGCTTCTATAATGAATAACATTTTCAAGTTTTAGATTCATTAAAAACATTACACCATAACTTACCTCAGGCACAGTTGAAAGTGTTGTAGAATCGGCGCTATTCTTCAGCTTTTCTTCGCTGTTGATATTCGCCTAAAATAACGCAATCAATCATTTCATAAAGTTAACTCAACAACTCTTTATGATAGGGTAGACTATACATATCATTAATTTTGTTAAAACTTCATAAATAGCATTAATTTTTTAAATCTAAGAAAAACAAAGTCCTCACCTTCAAAGTAGCAGGTTTGCTTCGATTAGGCAGCGGCGTCCTATTAATGCCGATTTCGGCAAGGCCTCGACGGTAAACGCTCATCTGAAATTTATTGGAATAGAAACTCTATCGCTTACAAATTATCTAGCAAACAACATCCATAAAACAAGAAAAATACATCATCAAAGTCAGTAAAACATGAAAAAGAAATAAAAAATTATAATTTATGCCGACTCCTTTTCAATAGTTTCACGAACACGATCGGCTTCTGTTGGGGTTGGGAATTGCATCAGGTAAATCGCAATCTCTTTGTCACCCGTCGGGCACATGATCCGCAACTTTTTACCGTCCACTTTTGCGACCTTCATCGTTTTGTTGACTAGGGCATTCACCCAAATGGTGCCCACAGTGGTTGCCGCTCGAACGAGGACACTTTTCTTGCCGTCTTTCTCTTTCATGTGGAGCATTCCAATGCCCAACTTTTCATACTGCTTGTCCACCATTTTGTGAACAGAACATTTGACACTGATGAAAGCGTCCGGCTCTGCACCTTCAACAACTTCAGCTTTGGGAGGCACATATTCGCCTTCTTCTCCATCTTCTTGACCCTCGCCTTGTGAATTCGCTGTCAATGGTGGCCCGAAAGTTAATTTTAGACCAGTAGAATCGTGGGAGTTGAGCGTGGGAATCGAGCCGCCAGCTTGTCCAAAAATGTTCGGTAGTTCACTTGTTCCAGCCGGTCCAAATATCGACTTTGTTGAATCCGAAGTTCCAAAACCGAGCTTGAGTCCTTCTTGCGAGTCGCCAAAAGTGGGTGTTCCAAGTGTTTGCGAAAAGTTTGGAAAGGTCGGCTTTGAGGAAGACTCATCCTTCTTCAAGAAATTCGGAAAGGCCGCCTTTGGGGAACTTTCATCTTTTGCTGCAGCCGCTTTCAAGAAGATCGAGTTCGTTGGTGGCGTTAGAGTCTTGGCAAAGAGGGACGAGCCCTGCGGCTCCTTGCTTTCCGTGCTTTTGACCAACTCCTCCGGTATTTTATCACCTGTAAAAGAAATCCTCTTGATCAAATCGGTCTTCTGTGCTGGGCTGGTCTCAATAGTGGTCGCCGTTGACCCATTGCTGTCTTTCTTCCCAAAGCCCCAAAAGTCTGCGCCAGCTTTTGGAAAGCTTGGTATTCCGGTCATCAGTTTTGAAGTATCCAAAGTTGCTTTCGGATCCATCGTCTTTTCTTCGCGAAAAACGACCGACTCAGGTTCACCCAAAGGTCCACCGCCTCGAATCGCCCGTTTTCTGCTGCCACCAGGAGGTATGTCCGGAGTCGGAGTTGCCTGTATTGAATCATTTGGAGCAATTGTCGAAACATCGGAAAGACGCATGCGTGGAGCATTCATACTGAGCGGCGTCGAAGACGAAGCAACAATGGTGGTGTTCCTTGACGTGTTCAAACTCGGCGAGTCTCCAGTTGCTCGTCTCTTTGCCTTCGCAATCACTCGATTCACTAGCGTCTTCCTTTCATCTTTCTCTTCATTGTGGTAGTAAGTCGAATCGAGCTCCTTCACGTGTTGTAAGTATGATTTCACAGTTGGCGTGAGATCATAGTGCGGGCATCCATCTACCCAATTCTGCAAAGTTTTGATGAACCCTTTGTTGAGGGAAACCATCTTCTCTTGGAATTGGTCTCTCATCTTTTGTTTGCTGTAGATGTCCAGGGTGGTCATCTCTGAAAAAAATGGTTAAGCACTGGCTTCACAAAGATAAAACAAGAAAAAAAGCATAAGAAATCCAAATTTGCCAGTAGCAAAACGTTTTTTGGGTCAATTTTACAAGCAACAGATGTAGAATAAGGGATATCGAGTAGAAATTTGGCGGTAAAATGGTAAAATTTAGCCAGAGGCAAGAAAGTTAGTAATCTTTTGATAAGGGGCGATCTAGCCAGCAAGCTACAAAAAAATGAATTTCAAAGAAATTTTTTTACTTGAATTTTTATATACTCGCAAATTTCTCAGATTGGATACTTAATTAATTAGCTGAATATCATAAAAGCCTATATATTTCATACCAAAATTTCTCTCATTTTCGTTTAAAAATCCTTGTAAAACTTGTGAAGCTAATAGAAAAAAAGGCGATTTCATAGCATCATGTTTTCATGGACTTTCGAATGCAGCTCCTCTTTGCGAAAAGTTCCGCATTTCTCCCCTGTACACCGACCATTTGTGCCCTTTCGCGTCTCAGTTTTCCTTGCTCAACGCTTTGACTCAGCTGATGTTTCGCAATGGAAGTTGATTGCTTTTCTCTTTTGACACAGTCCTTGTTTCTCGCAAAATCTTTTTTTTTTACCTTTTCTCCATTGTGAAACCTTTGCACATTGAGAAGTTTAGCAAGTGGCTTACAATTGATACCTTGGGCAAACTTGGATCAATTTAAGATTTAAGATTTTCTGTATCTTTTAAAAATACAGTAAATCCTACATCTTGTGCTTAATATATTTATTTATTGTACTTAATATATTTATTATATTAATTAATATTAATATAAAGTAACCATTCGGACGTTAAGACTGAATGCTTTCAAATTCTGATGAAGCACAGGTTTCAGTCTTACAGCTTGAATCCTTTAATTCCGCCACTGAGCTTTACCATATCTTTACTGTACCTTTTACTGCTAGAATTTGAGATAAAATTTCCTTATCAGATGGCCGAAAAAGAAACCGCCGAATCGCAGCAGGAATTTTCGGATGTCGTCTCGGTTTGCGATGATTTTGAGGTGATCGAGCCGGATATTGGTGAGTAAACTAGCTTAAAAACTGGACAATTTACTATGAACTATGAACTATGAAAATTTAAATTTCCAGGCTCCGACCCGGTTCGTCGTTCATTCCACGATGATCTCGAGTCCGAGAAAACGCCGACCGCTTCGCCCACACAAAGCGTCTTCCTCAACACGATGTCGATTGAAGGATCCGAAAAATCGTTTGTGATCTCGAAGGTGAGTGAATTTCTTGACAAACTGGGCAATTAGTGTCCAATAGGTTTGCTTGTCGGTCAAAGTATAGTGCTGAATAGGTTACGGTAGCAGATACGAAAAATAGGTAGCTACAAATACTGTGACTTAGAGTAATCTTGCTATTGGTCAGAGTAGTGCTGAATACAAAAAGGATTCAATAAAAGATACGGAGAATAGGTATACTGTAACAAAAATGTAACTTTATAATAAACAATGACTCTAAAATTTTACTTTTCGATTTTTTTCCAGTCCACTCCAAATGAGCCCACTGATGCGCGCCCAACCACTCCAACTCCATCTGATATCGGAAATCTCGCGGACCCTGAAAGTTGGTGCCTTTTCAGACAATTTATAATATCACCAGCCTCGCTAGACGGGACACTAACCACCTCGGTCACGTCCACCCTCCCAAAGACCGCAAAAAGTGGGGTGGCTAAGTGGTTTTTCTGATTTTTTAACTGGTTTTTCATGAAAAACTTGTTTTAACCAAAAAGGATGTACCTATTCATTTTTAATGCCATATCGATAAAAAAAAGTTTGTCGAAATCGGTTCACGGAGAGCCGAGATCTAGAGCGTGACGGACAGACAGACGGACGGACACTTCTCTTTTATATATAGTAGATTGCGAAATAGTAAAGCGTTAAACAGTCTCAAAAATCGATAACCACCGTAGCCTTGTCTTATGCAACCTTAAATTCAAAGCCTGTTTTATCTGCTTTTTCCCTATTTCGAACACGTTTTCGGTTCAAATCGTACCTTTTTTCAGCCCCAATTATGTCAGAATCGATGTCGGATTTCTCGATGCCAACTTCGAAAACCGTTTTGGACGAGCTGCGCAATTTGGGGAAAATGTTCGAATCGCATATGATTGGGGTAAAATATCTAAAAATAAACTTTATAGCAAAATAATTAAGCTAAAAAGACTGAATATCTGTTTCAATTGAAATTTGGACATTTAAATTTAACTTGAGAGTGCTCCTCAAAAGTTCCCGCTTTTTAAAAAGTGGATAATTTGGAAAACAACCGTAATCCTTTTTTCAGCTTGTCTTCTGTTTACTTATTTATAATTCCATTTGATGAGGGATAAAACCGTGTATGAATTGGAATCAAAATTAGAATAGACTAATAGAAAGAGTGCGGTAGCTTTTCAAATCAAAATCTTTTAGAAAACGATTTACTCATTCCAATTCAAATATCTAAATACTTTTAATTTCGGCATACTGTAACAAGACAGACTATAGAGATATTACGGTAGTTGTAAGCTTAAAAATTTTAGTCTACGATGACCGTCACTGGTGGAGAGGTGGCCATGTTGAAGGAGGAGAATGAAGAGCTCAAAGTTCAGGTGAAACAGGAAATTTTTTCGATTTTAAATCCCAATTTTCAGCTGAGCACCGAAAAAAAGATTAACAAGCGCTTGATGGAAACGGTCGATGAAAAAACCGAAGAGGTTGATAATGATATTGATATTAAAATTAGAGCTGATGATGCATCTTGCGATTCTAAACTCCCTTGGTAGCCTTATTCTTAGAATAACTGTACGCAAATGTCCGTCTAATTAGCCCGTCTAATTAGTCCATCTAATTAGCCCGTCTAATTAGTCCGTTCAAATGTGATATTTAATTCAAAAATTAGTTGTAAGCCAGATAGGAGTTAGATATCGAATATAATCCTTATTTTAGATCCATCGCATTCGAAAAGCGGTCACCAAGCAGCTGACCGAAGAATCAGAGGGCAAAATGGAGGAAATGCTGATGAAGGTGAGTGCCGCGTGAACAATTAATTTTCTAAAATGTGTCATCTTTTGCAAACTACCGTAACCCTACCAATCAACAGCTTAGTTTTTAGCTAGAAGCCGCTCTCCGTCAAAACGCCATCCTCCAAGAAAAACAAGAAAATCTGAAGGTCGAGGTGAGTCTAACGAGCGTAAAACATTCTGAAATGCTAATTTAGCTCCAAGCCAGCACCATCGAGAAAATGCAGTTGATGGAACAAAATGAATCGCTGAAGAAAGACGTCAACAATGCTCAAAAAAAGCCAACAGAATGATCAGGGTGTGATTCAAAAACATCTAGAGGATATGATTACGGCGTTGAAGTAA